AAAATGTTTTGTTAACTCCAACCTATGTCATTATAATTATCTTAATTTTGTTTTTAATCGAAGAATAGTGTTGAAAATATATTCTCGAAAAGTCAATCAATTTTACGTTTGGGTATGAATGGTGAATACTACACCAAAATTGTGTCTGCAGTTTTTCATCTTACTCGGAATCATTCTGCAAATCAAAGAATTCATCTTGTAATTCATCGGGAAAGCTGGCAACATCAAGGGAAGAAGACAATGGGTAATACGTAAATGCAGATTCTTCTTTTTTCAGCTCAGAGAAAATAGCGATACAGTTCGTTTTCAAGAGATTCAAGATGCCCAGAAATCGCTTCTTTCAAAATTTTAATTATCTCACAATCAGATTCATCTACCACACATTTTCTCAAATTTACAATATTTCCAAGATTTATTTTCTTTACCGATTTTTCAGCTTTGATAAAAATGCCCCGAGATTATCATGGAAAGTTATAATATTCGTTCATTTTCCCTGAAGCTTCAGGTTAAGCTTATCTTGATGTTCGAACACATCTGCTATGTATGATACTCTCTCCAACCACTCTATGTCGTTTTAAGTATACCAAAAGTCTTGTTTCCTTTGCACCTCCAAGAACAATTTGATTTCAGATTTCAATTCAAAAACACAATTTACAACATTTCGTTTGACAGCGAGCGTACTGTAGTGTAGAAAAGCAGAACCTCGTGATCTATATTAATGTTTTTGCTCAGTTCTATGAAGGCTCCAAATTTTACATAATTTACGACTTATACTAGCAATGAACTCTTGATGTCGATTGGTTAGGGCAGTGGTTAGGGAGCTAAATCTTTTCTGTTTTCTGAAAGCCCGAATTTGAGCTAAACATAGATGGCGCACCATCCGTACAAACCCCCACAGCCGTTTTAACCCATTTTAATTATCCAGTTTCAAAAAAGGTGTTTATTTTCTCCATGCTATCTTCACAAAAGAGCAATCTTCTTTGCTATCATCTGCATTAATATAGACACAGACCAGCAACGGCGAACACGAACTCACGTCTGTTGATTTATCAACTTGAAAAGCAAAGAATGGTGCAAGCTTAATTTCGATAAAAATGTGTTATTTAAAATTTTCGTACATGCAGCGTTTGATGAGATTTCTCCTTTTTTTTTTTGCTTGTCATTTTCTATCGCGACTTCATTTGATGCTTGCACTAATGCTTGTGAAAACTTCCTTTTCGATTAAGTCTCTGGCGTTCGCAACTAGCTTCTTACCGACGAAAGAACTCCATATATTTTTTGGTGTGTTCCAAATGACTCGTCTCAAATGGCGTTTTAGTTTTGAAGATTTCATAGATTCGTGACTGAGAACAACTTTGTACAGTGCGCTTTGTTTCTTCTCTATTACATTTCCAGTGATGTTAATGAAGCCTAATTTCAAAAAATTCTTCTAAATATTTATGTTTTGTTTTAAATTACTAAGGTTTAGTATACCAGTTGGCGACCCCCCAGAAAGACCTTCGCGACCCCCCTGGGGGTCGCGACCCCCAGGTTGGGAACCCGTGAGCTAGATAGATCTAGATCTAGATAGATAAATCACAAAGATTTATATCAAATATTTAAGGACTAAAAATGTATTATGATTATAAAATGGATTGTATTTTTATCTAATTAATCTTTGGTTTGTATCTAATTAATCTTTGGTTTGACCTAGATTATAGATCTAGATCTATAAATAACTTTCTTGGCCACCTGATATTTAGATCTATAAATAAATAGATATCTTTCTTGGACAGATTGTAGGGCTAGAGAAATCTATTGTAAAACTAAATGAAAAAGACAGTTGAAAATTGATGTAAATGTTGGAACGTAATAAACACAGCAAACGGACGTATCATTAAAGCTATAGCCGACAGAAAATTAGCTTTAGAACGCGTTAAACATTGGAATGTGCCACACAGTCTATGATGGAAGTCGCCATGTTATTGTACTAAAAAGTAAACACATCATGTGACGTCACTATTCCCAAAAAGTTTAGTCGATGTTTTAAAATTTTTAAATGAATATGGTTAATCTACCTATGAATAAATCAATAAAGTAATTAACGTCTTTAAATAAATTTGTGATTAACAGTCTGTCTGAAAACAAAAATTGTTCTCTACCTACATAATATTTTAATTTCGCAAGGGCGGCGCCCCGGGAGGGTGCGATTTTTCCCTTTTTGTCATTAAAAAAATCCAGTTTCGTCACTTAGCGAATTTTTAGACGATCCAATTGGAAATTCATACTGAGCATCTAATAATAGACCATTAGTAACTGTAACATATTGCATCAGTCACACTGATGTTTAAAACACGTAAAATATTTTTTTTACGTGTTAAAGAAAAAACCCAGTTCATTTGTGTCACTTTTACGAATGACGCAATCTGCATCATTGTTAACAGGATGCTAACTCTGGGTTACCCTCTAAGCATGATGGCGCCTATGTTAGTTTTAATTAGCCAGAGTCCGTATGCGGCGCCTCAGCGGTAGTATAATTGGGGGCTCCCTTGAGCGCCCTCTACGTCCTTGACACATGGGTTGTCACCTAAATGTGTTCTACCTCCTTATTTCGCTAAGTGATTAACATACACTCAAGGTTTTCATGCGGTAGTATAGGTAAACCTGTGTCCCGATAATTATGATCGAAGCGCATGCATTTTTTACAATTAAATAATTAAGTTTTAGAAAACAAGGTCACGCGTCTAACAACATAGGATTGGTAACGCATTTATGAAACTCTTCTTATATATTTCGTCAGACTTTCTTCTATCCCCTCGGCAACGCGCGGGGACGGGTGCGTTAGTTTATTTATATATTTATACAGAGAGAGAGAGAGAGAGAGAGAGAGAGAGAGAGAGAGAGAGAGAGAGAGCGAGAGAGAGAGAGGGGGGGCCGGGGGAGAATGTCATGTTATTATTGTGCCGTCTTATCTGTGTTTGTTTTAGAACAAAAGAAATGTAAACACAGAAAATGCTCTCACTCGTGTACCGTGATATCCACCAACCCTTGGACAGAAGCTTGTGGGTGTCCAGGTGGTATGGCTCTGAGTGTCACAGACTTCCTTTCCTGTATTAAGCTGCCACAAGTTGGTATGTTATGTTCTAAATAAGTTGTTTTTAATATATTTCAGTATCACGTCATTTAATGTATTTGCAGAAACCGCTAATTAGTTAACTTATTTAAACTGCGAAACATGCATTTTTCAAATAATAAACTCTTTTAGAAATATTGCATGAAACTTGTCAGCACTATTTTAATTTTCTAGCAAAAAGATCTATGCAGATATAATAAAAACCAAAGCCGCAATGATAGCTGAGAATACTACTAAATCGAATATTAAATTGAAGAATTGATGGAATCATTGAATTATCGCGATAACACTTCATTCTTAGTTGATGCTAATTATTACATTAGCTCACTTCTTTATAACTGTGATGTTAAGAATAAATTCTATCAGTTTGGGAATTATTGCTGATAATTTTAAAAATAACAGCTATTAAAACTAATTTTTCTAAATAAATCACTTTTATTATCTAAGACGCCAGCACCTGTCACGTGAAAAATTGCTCAAACGCTTGTCTTGTTGCGTCCACTGATCCACGAACTGAAATTTGTTTATGTCTTATATATAATATTTGTTGTTATTTTTTTTTTAACTTTAGTAAAAAAAAATATTAGAATTTTTTTATCTTTCATTAAAATCCAAATATTCTATTTTTAAAAATGAAATTTGAATATATTCTGATACGGATCTCCTTTATCAAACAAATTATGCTTCTTTTTCAATGCGTATATTTTCCGGAAACGACAACACTAAATTTTGTTGCAAGTTATTTTTTTTTCAACGTAAGGAGTACTTGGATTAATGGGGTAACTAGGACTAAGGTAAGTAACATATTTTCCTTATATTTTTTTCTACGTTATTGTTTTAAAACACATAAAGTAATCCTAAAAAGGAAATCATGAAATATATATCATAAGTTCCGCTTGGTTTTAGCTATATATTTTATAACCTCAGTATTACCCGTCTACGTTATTTTACCTTTCTTTCTATTTTTTTTTTACAATTTATTTACAGGCATTAATCTTTTGTCTTATTCAAATATAAGTACTATTCGGTGTGAACAGGTGAAAATCAGTATAAACTCTAAAGCACTTTAATTAGTTTACAGAAAGACAATTTCTGTCTATTCAATACAACGCTGAAACAAGAGTCATTTTTAAATCAGCTGACAGAGAGGGGGTGGTGTCTAATATACTCCCTAAGGGGTCATCCATAAATGACGTCACACTCGTAGGGGGGGGGTCCGTAATTTTGTGACGAAGTGTGATGAGGGTGAGGGGGGGGGGGGGTTAGAAGTTGCGACGTCAAACTTTTGCATTATAAAAAAACAATGTTAGAAAACGAATTTTAGACGTTATTTCGCGTTTTAGATAACTGTTTTAATAAATTGTTATAGTTTCGACAAGATTTTAGAAAAATATCGATGTTTAAAAAAAAAATTCAACTGCAATTTTGAGGGGGGGTTGTAGGATGAGGTGTGACGTCATTTTAGGGGGGGGGTCTGGCTTTTTGTGACGACGTGTGACGGAGGAGAGGGGGAGGTAAAAATCGACCCAAAAAAAGCGTGACGTCATTTATGGATGACCCCCTAAGCTTCTAATATACTATTGGGTCAGTGCAAGTCTGGTTGAACCCAGACTGATAGAATTCCAACCCTAATCTTAATTAGTCTAAAATATAACAATATAAAAGCTCAACAATTCATACAATTTTTAACACAAATTAATTCAAACATTGCACAATAAGAAAACAAAAAGTGACAAAATACCCAATCGGACTACAAACAAACCTGAGAAGATAGTATAAGTGAAAACCATATTAAAAGGAAAGCGGTGATATACTAGGCATAGAGATAGCAAAAAATTCATTAATTTTAAACTTTTAAATCAAATCAGAAGTTATTTAAAGAAATGGAAATCGGAATTTCTGTTTATTTGTATGCGCTTAAAAACATGATGCAGAAACGGAAATGGGAAAATTAAAGACATTTGTGTTGTTTTTCCTGCAGATTTGAGTTTTATTGCTAAATATGTCGCGTGTTTAATTTTTCTGTTAGTAAAACAAAACTCACAGGTGAAAATGGCGTCGTTTTTCGACCCGGTGTCCGTCGCCATAGAAACCCTGAAAACAATAGAAGGTGTTGGCTGTCATAAGCCGGTAAGAAATCTAAACTTGTGGTTGTGATAGCGTTCAATGTATTGTTTATTTAAAATTGTGTGATTGTGTTGTAGAAATTTTAAAACAGTTGATCCACTAAATATTCCCTCGTATTTGTAATGCTGCTATCGCAGACAACAATTGTGTAGCTCTTAAAGCTGTGGTTCGGGTTCGAGTCGACACAGTTCTGACAGGTCTCCAACCAACGTAAGGGAACTTAAAGACCGTTGGTTGTAAAACCATGCTAACCCTTTACATGCCGAGGTCACTGAAACAAATAAACTCTTCTTCATCTGCCAAATGGACCGCCAGGACCCTATTCATTAATATTCGTTGACTGACCCAAAGACCCCATTAACTAATATGTGTTGGCTGACCCCCAGGATCCCATACGATTCAAGATTCAACTCCCCGAAGACCCGGGCAAATGGGCCAAGATCTCGAGCTTCAAGCGAGGGCACAACATCAACAAGTGGAGCATCCGCTTCCAGAAGAAGTTGGGCAGGTCCACGCTGTAAGTCACAGTGGGGGTGGGGTGTACATCTTGCTGACCCCAGCTCCCCAATATCCCACACTGCCGCACACAACACACACAGTCATACCTCATCTCTACTTTACTCCGATACAGAGGCGTATCCAGGTTTTCGGTGTAGGGGGAGCGGAAATAGCAAAAAAAGGCGCCGAATTTGTAATATCTTCTATATAAGTATATATATATATATATATATATATATATATATATATATATATATATATATATAATCACACTAGAACCAAAAACAATAAATGGCATAATCTGTTTCGTAATCCTTGTAAAAAATAATGCATAATAATTCCTAGGACATCTATTAAGACTAGCGAAAAGGGGAAATAATCAATGTCTTAATATAAATATGTATATGTCTACACATTTTATTATAAATATCAAAACAAATCAATAACTACTTAAGAATCTAATAAAAGTAGTTTAACACTATTCGTTTTTACAAACATATTTTATCTACAATCAAAATTAAATATATTGTCATCATAAATGCTAAACTTTTACAGCATAATGAAAGTTTTTTAAATCAGAGTTGGTATAAAATCCAGCTTTTAAGTGAAGTAGTATAATATTCGGAATAATAGCCTACATATAACTACATTATCGGTCTTACAATTCAGATTAAGCATTGTTTAATTAGCTACTGACTTTTAGTGTTCTTTAAGGATAATTTTTAGTATAATGAGAAGGTATGAGTTAGATCTCTGTATTGCTCACACACCTTTTACTGGTAATTGCAAAAACAATATTCACAGAGATTTACGTTTCAAATGTGCCGACCAAAGATACTTTTCAAATATCAATGTTTAAAACTTCGAGTTTAAAAAGTTTCCAAAAAAGGCGCCACTTTGCTAAAAATGGCCAGAGGGGGAGCGGCCGCTCCTCCTGCTCCCCCCCTGCGTACGCTACTGCTCCGATATCTCAGTTACTATCCGAGTTTGGTCCGAATAACACAAATACTGCCCGAGTAAAGAATAAGCATGTTAATGTTATGAGAGGCGTTCTATACTTCAGTTCTTGGACTTGACAGTCAGATCTTTCACAAATAGTTAGGTATTGGCGAGTTTTCGCTTTCTCTGTGTATCTGTTTTATTTACAATTCATGATGTTGATGTCCTAACGAGATTGGAGACATATGCTATTAAGCTACATCCATCTACGTCATTGACTATGGCTCCGGACAATACCCCCCTCCGGATATAAACCCGCGCGACACACACTCCCTGGTCAATAACCACTCGCTCCTCCCTGACTGGGGTTTATATTTAGAACAACCAAATTTATTTGATCAAAAAGCAATCACCAACAACACCTTAGATATATGACATCAATGTGGAAGCCGTAAAAAAGCGAGCGTCTGTTTATCCTACAGCGGGCAACACGACACAATAGCGACAGTCACTGATCTCCCCTTTTGTTGGGCTTGTGTTACTACCCTCCTTAGACCAGAGCTCTTTAAAAAATATGTATTCGCCACAGACACAAAAACTCTAGACCTCCCCCCCCCCCCCCCCCCATAGATAAAATGTTTTATTTCTTATTGCTTTAATGTCTCTGGTGGTTTAAAGTAAGTTCCCCTTAATCCACAATCCACTCTACTTATAATAAGTAGTTTCCTTTGAATCCACTCAACTTGTCATAAGTAATTTCCCTTGAATCCACACAACTTATAATAAGTAATTTCCCTTGAATCTACTTAACTTATAATAAGTAGTTTCCCTTGAATCCACTCAACTTATTTCGTTTTACAGAGGCTCAGACAAACAAAGGCGACGGCTGTCTTCAAGGTGAGTTTTTCACTTTCTGCTCTCTAGCCGACATATTGGGAAAGTAGACCATCCTTGTGCTAACCAGTAGGTCTCGAGTTCGAATCCGGGTTCAAGTCAATAGACCGTCTCTGAGTCAACCCAGCTCTGATGGGTACCTAACTCACTTTAGGGAAAGTAAAGGCGGCTGGGCATAGTGCTGACCACACTATCTCTTCATATGCCGAGGTCACAGAATCAAGTGAACTCTACTTCACTTGCCCCATAAACCGTCAGGTTTGAAAGGGAACATTACTTACTTTACCATCCTTGCACATACGTTGGGTTGTGTATAAACAGCCGTGTGTTCACAAACAGCTGTAACTATGACGTTTGGGGCTTTTACCTTCAGTTTATTTCTAATCTCTAGAAAAAAATTTACAAAATAGACTTCAATCATATTGTTTTGCTGACAGCGATGTCTTTTGCTACTGTCGATTCGTCTTACACGTAGGCCTCACTTTGATTACAATTGAACTTTACTCAAGAATATCTTTGTCAAGGAGCAGATTTAAATACTACATCAGATAAGCTAGATTAAAACATGGATAGGGTCATAAGTATTTCACAGGTGCCTCAAAGTTTGACAGGTACATCAATATTAGGTTGGGTTAGTATTTGATACATCAATTTTAAAATCAAATGAACTATCGTCAAGCCAAGAAAATCGATACTAAAATATTCATACAAGTTAATACACTTTAATTTGCGAAACAGAATATCAAAACACTGATTCAAAAAACATTTTTAAAACTTTACAAACGATTTCTTCTTGTATGTTTTTACCCGGCACACCCTAGCCAAGGTGTGAAGTAAAAATAGAGTAAGTTCCCCTTTCAGACCTAACTATCCATAGGGCAGGTGAAGTAGAGTTCATCTGTTTCTGTGACCTCGGCATATGAAGGGATGGTTTGGTCAGCACTTTGCCCAGTCACCTTTACTTTCCTTCACGTAAGATACCCCACAGGGCTGGGTGGACTCAGGAACCTTCTAGAATCCCGAGTCCGGACCAAGATCCGAACTCGAGACCTTCGGGTTAGCCGCTGAATGCTCTACCTCAGTCTGGAGTAACACAATCCAAACGGTGACACGACGCTACAATAAAAGAACACAAGCAGCCAATTTTATTCATAACGCTACAGCCCCTGCTACAATCTCCACGATTTGCCAGTATTGAAATAACTCATGGCTTATTCCCCTTGAAATAACCCATGGCTTATTCCCCTTGAAATAACAAATGGCTTATTCCTCTTGAAATAACCCGTGGCTTATTCCCCTTGGAATAACCCATGGCTTATTCCCCTTGAAATAACCCATGGCTTATTCCCCTTAAGTAACCCTTGGCTTATTCCCCTTGAAATAACCCATGGCTTATTCCCCTTGAAATAACCCGTGGCTTATTCCCCTTGAAATAACCCATGGCTTATTCCCCTTGAAATAACCCATGGCTTATTCCCCTTGAAGTAACCCATGGCTTATTCCCCTTGAAATAACCCATGGCTTATTCCCCTTGAAATAACCCGTGGCTTATTCCCCTTGCAGTGTCTCCCTGCCCGTCGTACTACAGGTCAAGGAGACCGAGCCGGATGTGGTCGAGGTCACGGAACCGGTGCCGGATGAAGTCGCACCGGAGGAGGCGCCCAAACCTGTCAGTGACCGGGAGTCTCTGGAAAAATCTGCGGAGGCTTACGATGCCATGTTTTTTGGTGATGGTAGGTTGATGTGTTTGATGCTATGTTTTTAACACGTTTTTCTTAACTCAGCTTCGCGTTTGTGGATGTGTGGATTTGTTTGTTGTTAAAATTGACATCGAAAATTAGCCCACTTCTGATTGCTCTAGAGACCTGAAATTTGGCATGCATGCTACTTTCGCCTAACAATTTCAGATGCAATCATAAAAACTAGCAATTAGAGACCGTAATTAGCTTAATTTAATTACGCCCCAAGGACCATAAAATTGAGGACATGATTTCTAAAGATACCGACAAGACTTGAGGCTTATTGACACAGTTACTTCGGCCCCAATCGATGTGAGCGCGCTGGCCGTGATCGTATAGTGGTTAGTACTTCGCGTTGTGGCCGCGACAACCCAGGTTCGAATCCTGGTCGCTCAAGATTTTTTTAGTCCGTGTATTTATAAACACTTAGTCAAGTCATACTTAATCAAGTCATTAGATAAAGTAGAAAATAAACTATATAAAAAACTTTTTTAAAAACCACGTTTTTCATGTGTAGCAACGGACTAAAAAGGAGAAAATAAAATACTTAAAAAAACCTTTTTAAAAAACCACGTTTTTCTTGTGGACTAAAAAGTAGAAAATAACTATTTACATACATTTGATGACAAAAAACGTGGGTCGGGCAGATGGGTCGGGAAATTTGATGGTGAACGTACCCACGTTTTTTGTCATCAAATGTATGTAAATAGTTATTTTCTACTTTTTAGTCCACAAGAAAAACGTGGTTTTTTAAAAAGGTTTTTTTAAGTATTTTATTACTTTCTCGTATATACGAAGTATAGAGAAAGTCTTGTAATCGTGCAAAAAAAAAATCGAGATTTTTACAAATCTCGATGTTTTACACCTCACTGATACGGAGAAACATAATTTTGCAATCTTGTCCGTATGTCTGTGTGTCTGTCTGTGTGTCTGTCTGTCTGTGTGTCCGTGTGTAAACACGATAACTTGAGTACCGTTACAGCTAGGTTGATGAAATTTCATATATAAGTATTTTATCAAAATCGTAGATCCGTATCAACTTTTGAGCGATTTCCGATAACCGGAAGTGGTACTTTTCCTACTTTGAATTTTTCAAAAGCCTATAACTTGAGTACTATTTCAGATAGATAAATGAAATTTCACATGTAAGTAAAAGATCTAATTCTCTACCTTCTGTTAAATTTTGAGTAATGTCCGTTGACTGGAAGTAGTAATTTACGCTACTTCCGATTTCTCAAAAAACTAATGTAAATTTTAAAAGTACTAATAATATTGCGCACTATTATGCGCTTTTTTATTCGCGTTCACTTGGTGTGCAATTAATTTGTCTACGAGATTTTATTCTATTTTTAAAACTTTAAGTATTTAAAATTGATTAAAAATCATGTCTATAGCCCGAGTTCCCATCCCCTGTTATTTTAGTATATAGAGTATTCGAGAAAGTTTAGGGGAGATCACTCCCGGTTTATTTGGTGATGCTAGGTTGATGTGTTTGATGCTATGTTTTTAGTGATGGTAGGTTGATGTGTACGATGTTGTTTGGTGATGGTAAATTGATGTGTACGATGTTGTTTGGCGATGGTATGTTGATGTGTACGATGGTATTTTTTTTTTGGTGATGGTAGGTTGATGTGCATGATGGTATGTTTTTTGGTGATGGTAGGTTGATGTGTTTGATGCTATGTTTTTTGGTGATGGTAGGTTGATGTGTTTGATGCTATGTTTTTTGGTGATGGTAGGTTGATGTGTTTGATGCTATGTTTTTTAGTGATGGTAGGTTGATTTGTACGATGTTGTTTGGTGATGGTAAATTGATGTGTACGATGTTCTTTGGCGATGGAATGTTGATGTGTACGATGGTATTTTTTTTTTGGTGATGGTAGGTTGATGTGCATGATGGTATGTTTTTTGGTGATGGTAGGTTGATGTGTTTGATGCTATGTTTTTTAGTGATGGTAGGTTGATGTGTACGATACTATGTTGTTTGGTGATGGTAGGTTGATGTGTACGATGTTGTTTGGTGATGGTAGGTTGATGTGTACGATGCTATGTTTTTTGGTGATGGTAGGTTGATGTGTACGATGCTATGTTTTTTTGGTGATGGTAGGTTGATGTGTACGATGCTATGTTTTTTTGGTGATGGTAGGTTGATGTGTACGATAGTATGTTTTTTGATGATGGTAGGTTGATGTGTATGACGGTATGTTTTTTGGTGATGGTAGGTTGGTGTGTATGATGGTGTGATAATGTTTATGATGGTACCTTATGTTGTTATGTATAATGTTAAGGTTGATGTGTATAGTGGTAGGTTGATGTATATGGTGGTAGGTTGATGTATATGGTGGTAGGTTGATGTATATGGTGGAAGGTTGATGTATATGGTGGTAGGTTGATCTGTATGGTGCTAAGTTGATGTTTATGGTTGTAGATTGATGTATATGGTGGTAGGTTGATGTATATGGTGGTAGGTTGATGTATATGGTGGAAGGTTGATGTATATGGTGGTAGGTTGATCTGTATGGTGCTAAGTTGATGTTTATGGTTGTAGATTGATGTATATGGTGGTAGGTTGATGTATATGGTGGTAGGTTGATGTATATGGTAGTTGGTTGATGTATATGGTGGAAGGTTGATGTATATGGTGGTAGGTAGATGTATATGGTGGAAGGTTGATGTATATGGTGGTAGGTTGATCTGTATGGTGTTAAGTTGATGTTTATGGTTGTAGATTGATCTATATGGTGGTAGGTTGATGTATATGGTGGTAGTTTGATGTATATTGTGGTTGGTTGATGTATATGGTAGTAGGTTGATGTATATGGTAGTAGGTTGATGTATATGGTAGTAGGTTGATGTATATGGTAGTAGGTTGATGTATATGGTAGTAGGTTGATGTATATGGTGGTAGGTTGATGTATATGGTGGTAGGCTTTTGAATATAGTATTAGGTTGATGTATATTGTGGTAGGTTGATGTAAAAGGTTGGTGGTGGTAAAATTATATGTTGATGACAGTAAGGTGTACCTCTGATGAAGGTAAGGTGAGTGGTTGGCGTGCTGTTGACTGATGGTTACGATACAGTTGTTTTTTGTTGTTGTTTGTTTATGTTTGTTTGTTTGTTTGTTTCTGTGATGGTAAACTAAAAGTATTCGAGGTTGTTATTTTTTTCGAGAACGGATCTTTACTTGAACTAACCTCTATCTACAGACAGAACTGGCGAGGAAGAAGACGAGGAAATCAAAAAACTCTCCGGCTTAGATCGAGAACAAATGCGGTACTTCAAGGCGTGTCAGAAGTTAAAAGCAAGTCAATTTGTTTTCTTCTGAAACTTTGCTCTTTTTGTGTGGGAGGCTGAAACTTTGCTCTTTTTGTGTGGGAGGCTAAAACTTTGCTTTTTGTGTGGGAGGCTAAAACTTTGCTCTTTTTGTGTGGGAGGCTAAAACTTTGCTCTTTTTGTGTGGGAGGCTAAAACTTTGCTTTTTGTGTGGGAGGCTGAAACTTTGCTCTTTTTGTGTGGGAGGCTGAAACTTTGCTTTTTGTGTGGGAGGCTGAAACTTTGCTCTTTTTGTGTGGGAGGCTGAAACTTTGCTCTTTTTGTGTGGGAGGCTGAAACTTTGCTCTTTTTGTGTGGGAGGTTTGAAGTAGTTGGATCTATTTCCATTATATGAATCTTTAATTTGGTTAAAGATAGTTTAGAGTTTTAAATAGTTATATTTATTTCTATGATATTAATCTTTAAGTTGGTTAAACTTAGGTTGAGGGTTTAAGTAGTTAGATCTATTTCTATTCTATCCAACTTTAAGTTGGTTAATTTGTGGTTTTTCTGTCAATACCCTGATTTCCCAATTAGCTAGGATTTACTTTACAAGGTTATCTGTGTGAGCAGTAATACCAAGACCCCCAAACATGCCTTCTGTGCAGATGAAGTTTAGATATTCACGACTGCAGTTGAAGCAAATAGATTACGTTTGAAGAGATTATAATTATACAACTAATTATGAAGATAAATTGGATTTTCAGATAATCAAATCAAGAAATAATAGCTTTTTAATAAGACGTTTGAAATTGAAAATATACTAGTGTTGAATTCAGATACTGTAATGAAATCAATAAAATGTGTACTTTAGATGAGTAAATGAAAAGTTTAATTTTTGTATACTTTTCAGTGTATACCGTCTAGACGAATCATGAGGTCAATCGGTACATTTGAAATAGAACTCGCGACCTTGAAACTGAATGACCTTGAATTTAAAGCGTTTATGGTCGCACTGATTGTAAGTAGATGATTGAGGTTTTCATTCAAATGTTTGTGACTGTTTTAATGTGTTAGGACCCGCAACACACACACACAGAACAGCGCGTTTTTTCAACGTTGTGCTATGTATTAGCGAACAAAAGTAATCACTCTGTTCATTAGCATCTGGCCACATAATGCCAGAAATTATGACTTCCATATCTATCGAGGTCTCCCTGACTTAAAACGTTGAACCCAGTTAATTTGGACGTTAATTTCCATCCGAGATATCCAGCACGTACAGATTGCTGTATCAATTAATTATATCGTTAATTGCAGGCTAACGATGAGGTCCAGCGACTGGACTTGACCGAGGCCATCTGTAGCGAGGTGCAAATGGCTTACCTGACGGACGTGTTTTCTGAGGATACCAGGGTGACAGATTTGGTAAACATAATGTGACAGATTTGGTAAACATAATGTGACAGATTTGGTAAAGTAAAACATAATGTGACAGATTTGGTAAACATAATGTGACAGATTTGGTAGACTTAATGTGACAGATTTGGTAAACATAATGTGACAGATTTGGTAAAGTAAAACATAATGTGACAGATTTGGTAAACATAATGTGACAGATTTGGTAAACATAATGTGACAGATTTGGTAAACTTAATGTGACAGATTTGGTAAACATAATGTGACAGATTTGGTAAACTTAATGTGACAGATTTGGTAAAACAAAATGTGACAGATTTGGTAAACATAATGTGACAGATTTGGTAAACTTAATGTGACAGATTTGGTAAAACTTAATGTGACAGATTTGGTAAAACATAATGTGACAGATATGGTAAACTTAATGTGACAGATTTGGTAAAACATAATGTGACAGATTTGGTAAAGCAAAACATAATGTGACAGATTTCGTAAACTTAATGTGACAGATTTGGTAAACATAATGTGACAGATTTGGTATAACATAATGTGACAGATTTCGTAAAGCAAAACATAATGTGACAGATTTGGTAGACTTAATGTGACAGATTTGGTAAACATAATGTGACAGATTTGGTAAAGTAAAACATAATGTGACAGATTTGGTAAACATAATGTGACAGATTTGGTAAACATAATGTGACAGATTTGGTAAACTTAATGTGACAGATTTGGTAAAACATAATGTGACAGATTTCGTAAAGCAAAACATAATGTGACAGATTTGGTAGACTTAATGTGACAGATTTGGTAAACATAATGTGACAGATTTGGTAAAGTAAAACATAATGTGACAGATTTGGTAAACATAATGTGACAGATTTGGTAAACATAATGTGACAGATTTGGTAAAGTAAAACATAATGTGACAGATTTGGTAAACTTAATGTGACAGATTTGGTAAAGCAAAACATAATGTGACAGTTTGGTAGACTTAATGTGACAGATTTGGTAAACATAATGTGACAGATTTGGTAAAGTAAAACATAATGTGACAGATTTGGTAAAACATAATGTGACAGATTTGGTAAAGCAAAACATAATGTGACAGATTTGGTAGACTTAATGTGACAGATTTGGTAAACATAATGTGACAGATTTGGTAAAGTAAAACATAATGTGACAGATTTGGTAAACATAATGTGACAGATTTGGTAAACATAATGTGACAGATTTGGTAAAGTAAAACATAATGTGACAGATTTGGTAAACTTAATGTGACAGATTTGGTAAAACATAATGTGACAGATTTGGTAAAGCAAAACATAATGTGACAGATTTGGTAGACTTAATGTGACAGATTTGGTAAACATAATGTGACAGATTTGGTAAAGTAAAACATAATGTGACAGATTTGGTAAAGCAAAACATAATGTGACAGATTTGGTAGACTTAATGTGACAGATTTGGTAAACATAATGTGACAGATTTGGTAAAGTAAAACATAATGTGACAGATTTGGTAAAACATAATGTGACAGATTTGGTAAAGCAAAACATAATGTGACAGATTTGGTAGACTTAATGTGACAGATTTGGTAAACATAATGTGACAGATTTGGTAAAGTAAAACATAATGTGACAGATTTGGTAAAGTAAAGCGGGTCTTTAAACTAATTTGGCAGAGTCACTGATTTGGCAAGAAATTAGAAAAAAATTGTTTTTGGGGTATTTTTCAAGAATTTATTTTATTGTGTTTATTGCTTATTTACTTGACCTATCCTGACTCACACACCTAACGCAGCTGTAAGCTGGACAACAGTGTTGACCTTCTTTAAGACCTATCTGTACATGCAGCTTCCTTTGTGTAATTTCCTAGTTGGTTTTCTTTAAATCACATCACTCAAACGTATTTTCCATTTGTTAGGTAAAAGTTTTTAACATAGAATAGGACGTATATGACTTATTCATTCAATGAGCATTTAAACATTTGGGAGTGTAAAAGTGGATCTAATTTTAAATGTGTAGATTCTCGCGGATAACTTCTTGACGTCTAAGTACATGGATCGGTTTTTTGAGACGATGACACAGAGCGATTGCCTGGTTTACCTTGACATCTCAGGTGGGTAACGTCATGGTGATCTTAATTTAAAGTCTCGTCTTTGACAAATTAATTAAAGCACAGTAAAAAAAAAAAGTTGCTGTAGAAGTTGATGGATGCACGTGACTACCTGACCACTTGATCACGTGACCATTTACCTCTTTACCTCTCTACTTATTTACCTCTCTATCTACCTCTCTACTTACCTCTCTACCTACCTCTCTACCTACCTCTCTACCTACCTCTCTACCTACCACTCTACCTACCTCTCTACCTCTCACCCTGCTATATTTTATATACTTACCAGTTTATAACCGTGTTTTATAAGTAAATCATTTTTATTCCAGGAAATAATTTAAACGACAGAGATGCTCCAATTCTGTGTGAATACGTCAAGGTTAGGAAAATGTATTTTAATTATAAGAGTTATATCTAGTCAGACATTTTTCACACCACTGGTACATGGTGGTTAGTGGGAAGCTTTGTTAGAATAGGCACCCAGTGTGTGACAGTGAACATACTAGTGTTATAAGCTTTACAGTTGTACAAAGAAATATAATATTTTATAATTCAATTTACTAACAACCTGTTATTATTTAACCTTTAAAATGTATATCTTCAGTTCATCTTGTCAATACTTATTTATAACTTTAAAGTTAATAGTTTTAGTTCTATAAACTGATATATTCAAATACAGTGTTAGCTAATCTAACCTTGCTGTAATTGGCTGGTGTTGATGTTCTATTTATACTGACCAATGGAATTGTTTGAACCCATCAGGACAGTTCCAACCTCAGCTACCTCTACATGAGCCGGAACAAATTCACGGCAGCCTCAGGGGACGCGTTTGGGAAAATGATCGGTAGGTTGTAGACATGAGCCGGAACAAATTCACGGCAGCCTCAGGGGACGCGTTTGGGAAAATGATCGGTAGGTTGTAGACATGAGCCGGAACAAATTCACGGCAGCCTCAGGGGACGCGTTTGGGAAAATGATCGGTAGGTTGTAGACATGAGCCGGAACAAATTCACGGCAGCCTCAGGGGACGCGTTTGGGAAAATGATCGGTAGGTTGTAGACATGAGCCGGAACAAATTCACGGCAGCCTCAGGGGACGCGTTTGGGAAAATGATTGGTAGGTTGTAGACATGAGCCGGAACAAATTCACGGCAGCCTCAGGGGACGCCTTTGGGAAAATGATCGGTAGGTTGTAGACATGAGCCGGAACAAATTCACGGCAGCATCAGGGGACGCGTTTGGGAAAATGATCGGTAGGTTGTAGACAGGGGACGCGTTTGGGAAAATGATCGGTAGGTTGTAGACATGAGCCGGAACAAATTCACGGCAGCCTCAGGGGACGCCTTTGGGAAAATGATAGGTAGGTTGTAGACAGGGGACGTGATCGGTAGGTTGTTAACAGGGGACGCGTTTGGGAAAATGATCGGTAGGTTCTAGACAGGGGACGCGTTTGGGAAAATGATCGGTAGGTTGTAGACAGGGGACGCGTTTGGGAAAATGATTGGTAGGTTGTAGACAGGGGACGTGATCGGTAGGTTGTTAACAGGGGACGCGTTTGGGAAAATGATCGGTAGGTTGTAGACAGGGGACGCGTTTGGGAAAATGATCGGTAGGTTGTAGACATGAGCCGGAACAAATTCACGGCAGCCTCAGGGGACGCCTTTGGGAAAATGATCGGTAGGTTGTAGACATGAGCCGGAACAAATTCACGGCAGCCTCAGGGGACGCGTTTGGGAAAATGATCGGTAGGTTGTAGACATGAGCCGGAACAAATTCACGGCAGCCTCAGGGGACGCCTTTGGGAAAATGATAGGTAGGTTGTAGACATGAGCCGGAACAAATTCACGGCAGCCTCAGGGGACGCGTTTGGGAAAATGATCGGTAGGTTGTAGACATGAGCCGGAACAAATTCACGGCAGCCTCAGGGGACGCGTTTGGGAAAATGATCGGTAGGTTGTAGACATGAGCAGGAACAAATTCACGGCAGCCTCAGGGGACGCGTTTGGGAAAATGATTGGTAGGTTGTAGACATGAGCCGGAACAAATTCACGGCAGCCTCAGGGGACGCCTTTGGGAAAATGATCGGTAGGTTGTAGACATGAGCCGGAACAAATTCACGGCAGCATCAGGGGACGCCTTTGGGAAAATGATAGGTAGGTTGTAGACATGAGCCGGAACAAATTCACGGCAGCCTCAGGGGACGCGTTTGGAAAAATGATCGGTAGGTTGTTAACAGGGGACGTTATCGGTAGGTTTTAGACAGGGGACGTGATAGGTAGGCAGGGGACGTAATCGGTTGGTTGTAGACAGGGGACGTGATTGGTAGGTTGTTGACAGGGGACGTGATAGGTAGGCAGGGGACGTAATCGGTTGGTTGTAGACAGGGGACGTGATAGGTAGGTTTGTTAAGTTGACAGAAATCTAAATGTACACATAACAAAAACTCAAGCTAGGGTAAGAAACTCGTGCAAGTGTCGGCTCGACACAGCAGTCGAAATTTTCTTTCTATAACATCCATTTTTTACAATGCATTTAAACAAAAAGCTAAACTTGCGAGGACAGAGAAAGGGGAGGGAATAAAATTACGTCCCTTAAAGTTTTTTTCCCATCACCAGCTGTCAATACGTCTCTAGTCGACCTGGACATCAGCAGGAATGGAATACGTGTGGATGGGGCCGAGAAATTCATCAAAGGATTGGCGGTCAGTTGATCACGTGTTACATTATCTAATTCCGGCTAGTTTTGTTTGATCCATACATTAGTAGTTCATATAAATACTTTTACAGAGAAGATAAACAGAATAATAATAATATACTGTGTAAACATTCATCTCTACAATTACATTAACAAAAAATTGAAAGGTATTTAAGAAATTGTTTTAATAAGTCGCTGTTGTCGTGCGCCTTTTCACCATAGCATTAGCCTTTAACACACAAAAAATGTATTGCATTGCATGGCATAAACATTTAAAGAATCTGATTCTAATCAGGGTTCTAATAAAGTTTCCTGGCTAGTCCAGCCCAAAGTACACCAAGCAAGAGATTTTATTTTTTTAATTTTGACTTTAAACATGATGCCAGAGAAATTCCTGCCTGGAGAGACTCGACTTCTCCTGGAACGGTCTGGGAAAGCCTGGCATCAAGGCTCTCATCGCCATGCTCAAGAAAAATAGGTCGCTGATATTTATCAATCTCTCTGGCAATAGGTAGGAATTAAAGTTTAATGTGCGTCTAGGTAAGATAGGGGTAATCATTTTACTAGATTAATTTTTTTTTAGTAAAACTAAATTTTGTAAAAAAAAAAAAATATGCTCATTCTCCTAAATACTAATAAAAGAAAATGTCCCGTAATTCATTTTTTTATTTTATTTGATTTACCTTTGTTTTTGCTGGGTAAAAATAAAATTCGGAGAAAAGAAGAATAACTCATAAAATATTACATTAGATTAATATTTTAATGGTTATTTCCCTTTGCTTCTTCTTGCTCCATGTTAACAAAGGGGCAAAACCCTGCATTATCCTTTTTAATGTATTGTTTTAATTGTTAATTCCCTTTGACCGTTATTTTCTTAAAATTATTTTTCAGATTAAATGGCAAAGATATGGAAAAGATTTTACCAGCCTTGAAAAAAAATACTACATTGGAGCGATTAGTGGTATTTCTCTGCATACATCTATTGCTAATTTTGATTATCATATAGCTACAGCAATAATCGGTTCAGTGTTTCTTTCAGACTTTTTCTCTGGGGGGGAGGGGGGGGGCACTTGAAATTTGGGAGGGGGGGTGGAAGATTTTCTTCGGGCTGTGGGGGGGGACACTGTTAAATGTATATATTTTCTATATAAATTTTGCGAAGAGAAGCCTGGAAGAAACTCTGAATCGGTTAATGACTACACACCTTAACTAAAGAATGTTTCTTTAACAGCACGACATTACGTCTTACATTTCCAGATAGAACACAATTGTTTAATCATGTCTGACGTCACTTTCATACTGTCGGAGATCTACAAGCTCAAAACTACAGGCCTTAAGAGAATCGACTTGGGGGTAAGTTGTCCTATAATGATCCACAAGTAAACGTCTGCGTCAACACATCTCACAAGAGTGATTTCCCTTGATACAGTTCGTGTGTTGAACTCGTCTTCACTCCCACGGTTTTAGAATCAAACGAGTCCATTCGTTGAGTACCAGGATTAGTGTTTTCTTAAATTTTTAAAACGAGCCGACCCGCGGCATATCATACGCCGCTATTTAGTTGTTGTTTTTTCTACTTTTCAGTAATGCATAATTTGTGAATTCGACAGTACCAACGCTGCCACTGAAAATATTTCTTTAAAACACTATAGGTAGCTCGTTAAGGACGATAACCCCCCCTCCCTCCGTTAAACTCTACTTAGTTACCCCCCTCCACCCTACGTTTAAAATCGTTTCAAACGAAATTATCTGCCCCTAATAGTCGTCACTAAACCCGGCTCTGCTTGTAAACAGCGTGAACCACAGCTCACCAGACCATGTAGGGGTGGGGGTGGTAGGGAGCGCGCTTACAGCTTGTTTTCTAGCGTCTCCCAGAAGAGAATCATATATATAGATCAGGGGTCTCCAAACTACGGCCCGCGGGCCGGATGCGGCCCGCGAGGTCCTCTCATCCGGCCCGCGGAGATCTTTTTGTCCACGGAAAAAACGTTTGTTGGTGATGGCTGAAGAACTTTGCGCAGAAAAATCACGACATGCCTGGAAGGAACTGGCCCCCGAACTGAAATTTGATAGTTAATGCGGCCCTCGGACTGAAATGTTTGGAGACCCCTGATATAGATGATTACCTCAAACCATCGCTTACCTGAGTGGGCTCCGGCTCACGTTGAGTATACAATGAAAAGAACCTGGCTCCAAAAAAAAACCTTCTCTAGATTACTAGATGCTGGAGCCGCTCTTGATAGTCCTTTGAAAGCCCTCCATTGACCTATTGTTGACCTTTCCTAATGCTCTTATGTGGATCCCATAGCATCAATGAATGATCTTTTCGTGAACCTAATTTACCTTATGATGACCCCTGGTTTACCTTATGATGACCTCTGATTGACCTTTTGACCCCTAGAGTTACCAGCTAGTCGAGCCCAGCATAGCGCCCCTGATTGACCTTTTGTTCTGGGAAAAGAACATTGACGTCAGGTACGGCAGCACGATGTCACACAGCGATGACAAGCAGAAGAACGAGGACGTCATCTCCAGGTTCAGGTGAGGTTAGGTCATTGTACAGGTTAGGTCACTGTACAGGAGAGGTTAGGTCACTGTACAGGTTAGGTCACTGTACAGGTGAGGTTAGGTCACTGTACAGGTTAGGTCACTGTACAGGTGAGGTTAGGTCATTGTACAGGTGAGGTTAGGTCATTGTACAGGTGAGGTCATTGTTCAGATGAGGTTAGGTCAATGTACAGATGAGATTAGGTCACTGTACGGGTGAGGTTAGGTCACTGTACAGGTAAGGTTAGGTCACTGTACAGGAGAGGTTAGGTCATTGTACAGGTGAGGTTAGGTCACTGTACAGGTGAGATTAGGTCATTGTACAGATGAGGTTAGGTCACTGTACAGGTGAGGTTAGGTCACTGTACGGGTGAGGTTAGGTCATTGTACAGGTGAGGTTAGGTCACTGTTCAGGTGAGGTTAGGTCATTGTACAGGTGAGGTTAGGTCATTGTACAGGTGAGGTGAGGTGAGGTCATTGTACAGGCGAGGTGAGGTCATTGTACAGGCGAGGTGAGGTCTTTGTACAGTTGAGGTGAAGTCATTGTACAGGTGAGGTGAGGTCATTGTACAGGTGAGGTGAGGTCATTGTACAAGTGAGGTGAGGCGAAGTCATTGTACAGGTGAGGTGAGGCCATTGTACAGGTGAGGTGAGGCGAAGTCATTGTACAGGTGAGGTGAGGCCATTGTACAGGTGAGGTGAGGTCATTGTACAAGTGAGGTGAGGTCATTGTACAGGTGAGGTGAGGCGAAGTCATTGTACAGGTGAGGTGAGGCCATTGTACAGGTGAGGTGAGGTCATTGTACAAGTGAGGTGAGGTCATTGTACAGGTGAGGTGAGGCGAAGTCATTGTACAGGTGAGGTGAGGCCATTGTACAGATGAGGTGAGGTCATTGTACAGGTGAGGTGAGGTCATTGTACAGGTGAAGTTAGGTCACTGCCACCAACATCTAACTAATACTGCATCATCTGTTGACAAATTGTATCCTATAATATTTATATAGCTGGTGAGATCTATTAATGTTATAATCGTAATACAAAATCCATCCCATAATTCCCCACCGCAGGTTGTGTTGGTAGTTTCTCTAGTCCTACATCAGCCAATGACAATAAATGTCAATGTCATACTATAAATGTCAATGTCATGACATTCACGATAATTTATTGAACAAAATAGATTAGTCTGAATTCATTAAATCGTTTGCATCAAAGTATATCCCAGTATCTGCTCAACATATTCACACTCAAACAGTTTTCATAATAAAATAGATCACATAAACATGATCTGCATACATTACATAAACATTATGTGTAATTTTATAGGTTTGACATAAATCGTGATCCTGTGACATACATTATGTGATTGTGTGACTTGAATAAGACGTCATGTATGTGGCATTGATCCTAACCTCATTTAACTACTTAACATGGTAACCTAATTAAGTGACATGATTTGTGCACTCATTGAACGCCATATCTCATGACATCATGTTCTGACCCTTATGACGTCATGTTCTGACCCGTCCCTCTAATGACGTCATGTTCTGACCCGTCCCTCTAATGACGTCATGTTCTGACCCGTCCCTCTAATGACGTCATGTTCTGACCCTTGTGACGTCATGTTCTGACCCTTGTGACGTCATGTTCTGACCCTTGTGACGTCATGTTCTGACCCTTGTGACGTCATGTTCTGACCCGTCCCTCTAATGACGTCATGTTCTGACCCGTCCCTCTAATGACGTCATGTTCTGTCCCGTCCCTCTAATGACGTCATGTTCTGACCCGTCCCTCTAATGACGTCATGTTCTGACCCGTCCCTCTAATGACGTCATGTTCTGTCCCGTCCCTCTAATGACGTCATGTTCTGACCCGTCCCTCCCAGAGATGACCCGCTGGCCCTAGTGACCCGTCTTAACGCTGAGGACCGGATGAGGCTGGTCAAGTATTTCGGCGGCATCGATCTGGAGGCGGCCATCGATACGGTGATTGGTTCAGTTGCTGTGTGTGTGTGTGTTAGTAAGAGAGATAGAGAGAGAGAGAGAGAGGGAGAGAGTTGTTTGTTTCCGTATGTGTGTGTTGGTGCTTTCGCCTGTGAGAGTTCGTCTATGTGTGTAGGTGTGTGTGTTGGTATGTGTATGTTGGCGTGTATATTGGTGTGGGTGGGTGTATGTGTTGGTATGTGTGTGCTGGCGTGTATTTCGTCTCTGTGTGCTAGACAGAGAGAGAGTTTGGTCAGTCAGATACGTTGAGAGACTTGGCTGGTCACATACAGCTAAAGATGTCTTGTCCTTGTTGTCATCGTATGGTGATGTACAGACCACTCGCTCACAACATCCGACACTGACCACTCGCCCACAACATCCGACACACACCACTCGCCCACAACATCCGACACTGACCACTCGCCCACAACATCCGACACACACCACTCGCCCACAACATCCGACACACACCACTCGCCCACAACATCCGACACACACCACTCGCCCACAACATCCGACACATACCACTCGCCCACAACATCCGACACACACCACTCGCCCACAACATCCGACACACACCACTCGCCCACAACATCCGACACACACCACTCGCCCACAACATCCGACACACACCACTCGCCCACAACATCCGACACACCACTCGCTCACAACATCCGACACACACCACTCGCCCACAACATCCGACACAAACCACTCCCTCACAACATCCGACACACACCACTCCCTCACAACATCCGACACACCACTCGCCCACAACATCCGACACACACCACTCGCCCACAACATCCTGACACACACCACTCGCCCACAACATCCTGACACACCACTCCCCCACAACATCCGGCACACGCTCACAACATCCTGACACACACCACTCGCCCACAACATCCGACACACACCACTCGCCCACAACATCCGACACACACCACTCGCCCACAACATCCGACACACACCACTCGCCCACAACATCCGACACAGACGACTCACCCACAACATCCGACACACACCACTCGCCCACAACATCCGACACACACCACTCGCCCACAACATCCGACACACACCACTCGCCCACAGCATCCGACACACACCACTCGCCCACAACATCCGACACACACCACTCGCCCACAACATCCGACACAGACGACTCACCCACAACATCCGACACAACACTCGCTCACACCATCCGACAACAACATACAATTACATCTGCACATGTGGGTTGACATAATAGATAGTCTGAATACCTTACCTGAATACCTTACCGCTTTCATTTAGATCAGGGTTCTCCAAACTACGGCCCGCGGGCAAGATGCGGCCCGCGAGGTCCTCTCATCCGGCCCGCGGCGATCTTTTTGTCCACGGAATTAATGTTTGTTAGAGGTAGCTCAGAAACTATGCCCAGAAAATTCAAAACAATTTGAAAATGTAGCTTTGGGTGCAAATACCATTGCCCGCCGTGTTGCAGACATTGGTGAAAACTTCGTGACTCAAATAGCGAAAAATGCAAGCAAGTTTGGCAATTTTTTAATTGTAATGGATCAGTTGCTGGACAGCTGTTCCACATCTCAACTGCTTATGTTCATTAGAGGTGTGAATGAAGACATAAACATAACACAAGAGCTGGCTTCCCTACATAGAATGTATGGCACTGTTACCGGAGAGAATATAGATAGTTCAGAGACATGTTAAAAGATAGAAACACAGAATCGCAAGATTTACCATATTTTACAGCAGAAAGATGGCTAATTTGCGAGAATTTTTTCTGAGCAGAGTATTTAAGTTAAGAAAGGAAATATGTGACTTCCTTGAAAGTAAAGGCAAGCCACAAGCTGATGTACTTACTGTCTGATGAAGAGTGGGTTTAGAAATTGGCCTCTGAACCTAAAACTTCAAGAGATGGAAATTTAGTTTCTGATCTATACACCCACATAAAGGCTTTCAGATCCAGACTTGTCATGTTTTTGGAACAGGTACAAGCCAACAACTTGACGCACTCTCTGTAGTGCAAGGTTTAAACGGTTGAAGCAATCATTGAGTTCCTCGTGTCATTTGCATACGAGATCATCAAAGACTTCAAGCTGCAGTTTCAGTAGCTCTTTTCTGACTTGGATTCAAAGGCAGAAAAAAGTGAGACTGTTTCAGCACCCATTTGAAGCAAATGTGGCCAGTTGCAAAGATGAACTGCAGCTGGAGGTCATTAGAGACACGTTCAAAGAAAGGCGGATGGGTTTTTATAAGTTTTTACAAAAGGAATATTTTCCTAATATTAAATTTTTTGCATCAAAGTACCTTTCAAGTTTTGGAACAAGATACCTGTGTGAACAAATATTTTCAAGATTGAAATACGTGAAGAATAATTTGAGAGCAAACTTGGACCTCGAGTGTGTTATTGACCACCGGCAGTGTTTCTTTCAGATTTTTTTCTCCGGGGGGGTGGGACACTTGAAATGTGTATATATTTCTATATAAATCATATTTCGTTAAGGGGGGGGGGGGGGGGTACACGTCCCTCGGGGGAGGGGGCGCTACCACCCCGAAGAGATGCCTGGAAGAAACTCTGCCCCCCCCCCCCCTCCAAACTGATACTTGATAGTTAATGCGGCCCTCGGGCTGAAAAGTTAGGAGACCCTTGATTTAGATATTTAAAATATCATATTTAGCCTTTGTACCCCTATCCCAAATATCCTTTATCCCAATATCCCAGATATCCTTTATCCCAAATATCCCAGATACCCTTAGTCCAAATATCCCAGATACCCTTCTTCCAAATATCCCAGATTTCCGCTAAAACGTAAGCTCTCTGAATTTTTTTGTTACAACATTTTATCTCCATTTGACAGCATTTATTTATTGTTACAAGATATTTTTTAATTTGCTGAAATCTCATGAGATATAATTTAATTGTAAAAAAACCCGATGACATGAAAATGTCTCTAATTTATGTGTCAATTAGTGAAACAAAAAAATGTATTAACAAACAGAAAGGGAGTGCACTCTCGTAAATATGTTACTCGGTTGCTTCCCTTCTAATCAGATTTGTCGTTCTTGGTTTATCTGGTTAGCAAGTTGGAACGTGTGAGAGAAAGTGTGTGGGGGCGAAGTGTGTGGAACGAAGTGTGTGGGGGCGAAGTGTGTGGGGGCGTAGTGTGTGTGCTGGAGAGTATGTGGGAGGGGGTAAATGTGTGGGGCTGAATTGTGTGGAGAAGAAGTAGAGTGGATGTAAGGAGCGGATGTAAGGAGTGGATGTAAGGAGCGGATGTAAGGAGTGGATGTAAGGAGCGGATGTAAGGAGTGGATGTAAGGAGCGAAGGTAGGAGCGGATCTAAGGAGTGGATGTAAGGATCGGATGTAAGGATCGGATGTAAGGAGTGAATGTAAGGAGCGGATGTAAGGAGCGGATGTAAGGAGTGGATGTAAGGAGTGGATGTAAGGAGCGGATCTAAGGAGTGGATGTAAGGAGTGGATGTAAGGAGTGGATGTACAGAGTGGATGTAAGGAGTGGATGTAAGGAGTGGATGTAAGGAGTGGATGTAAGGAGTGGATGTAAGGAGTGGATGTAAGGAGCGGATCTAAGGAGTGGATTTAAGGAGCGAAGGTAGGAGCGGATCTAAGGAGTGGATGTAAGGATCGGATGTAAGGATCGGATGTAAGGAGTGAATGTAAGGAGCGGATGTAAGGAGCGGATGTAAGGAGTGGATGTAAGGAGTGGATGTAAGGAGCGGATCTAAGGAGTGGATGTAAGGAGTGGATGTAAGGAGTGGATGTAAGGAGTGGATGTAAGGGGTGAATGTAAGGAGCGGATGTAAGGAGCGGATGTAAGGAGTGGATGTAAGGAGCGAAGGTAGGAGCGGATGTAAGGAGTGGATGTAAGGAGTGGATGTAAGGAGTAGATGTAAGGAGTGGATGTAAGGAGTGGATGTAAGGAGTGGATGTAAGGAGTAGATGTAAGGAGTGGATGTAAGTAACATCTGTAGACGCCAGGCGTAACTAGGTTAAGTTATTGTTCAATTGTAACAAGTACTTTTAGCGTGTGGCCATAAAGCTGCTTGTATTCAAAGGCGTCGCTAAGTTACGGTGGATGGGGGTGCCCGCCCAACGTTCTCGCTGCATAAAAGTAAATTGCGATGTGAGGCAAGAAGTATCAGATTTAAAGTGATGTTTGTGTATAAACCTAACCCTTTCTCAACTGTTCATACGCCAACCTACATTAACCCTTTCTCAGCGGTTCATATGCTAACCTACATTAACCCTTTCTCAACTGTTCATACGCTTACCTACATTAACCCTTTCTTCCTTGTTTAACCTTTGACCTTTAGGGAGAGGACATCCAACAGGAAAGTTTCTTGGACAAGATGAGGAACAATAAAGTAACCTTTAAGTAAGATCAACTTTTTAAAGTAACCTTTAAGTAAGATCAACCTTTTAAAGTAACCTTTAAGTAAGATCAACTTTTTAAAGTAACCTTTAAGTAAGATCAACTTTTTAATGTAACCTTTAAGTAAGATCAACTTTTACAATAAAGTGACCTTTAAGTAAGATCAACTTTTTAAAGTAACCTTTAAGTAAGATCAACTTTTTACAGTAACCTTTAAGTAAGATCAACTTTTTACAGTAAAGTAACCTTTAAGTAAGATCAACTGTTACAATAAAGTAACCTTTAAGTAAGATCAACTGTTACAATAAAGTAACCTTTAAGTAAGATCAACTTTTTATAAAATAAAGTAACCTTTAAGTAATATCAACTTCTTACAATAAAGTAACCTTTAAGTAAGATCAACTTTTTATACAATAAAGTAACCTTTAAGTAAGATCAACTTTTTACAATAAAGTAACCTTTAAGTAAGATCAACTTTTTAACCGTCTAACTCCCCCACCTCTCTCCCCAAGCTCACCACCCCCACCCCTCTCATCCACCCTCTACCCCAAAACTAGAACTTGTCATGTGTGCTTAAACGCTGTCAATCTCGGCAAAAACGTTCAAAATAATTAGGTTTTAATCAAAGAATGTTAACATATTGCATCATCGACATGTAGCAGATTTGCAACAGCAAACATTTTATGAATACTACAAACATGGATGAAACCTGATTGTTACAACGTTAACATTGTGTAACGAAAGTAAGAAAGTTAACATTATCTAACAAAAGTAAGAAAGTTAACATTATCTAACAAAAGTAAGAAAGGTAACATTATCTAACAAAAGTAAGAAAGTAAACATTATCTAACAAAAGTAAGAAAGGTAACATTATCTAACAAAAGTAAGAAAGTAAACATTATCTAACAAAAGTAAGAAAGTTAACGTTATCTAGCAAAAGCAGAAAAATAACATTATGTAACAAATAAAGTTAACATTCCCAACAAAACATTCAAGTTAACATAGTGTAACAAAGTAAGAAAGTAACATTCTCTAACAAAAAAAAAGAAAGATAACATTGTGTAACAAAAGATTTACGAAGCCCGACCTTCTTAAAGCCGTGCACAACTGAACCGAATAAATAATTAATTAGCACAGTCGTGAGCAAAGAATACCACGTGGTTTGTAGGATAATATCACGTGATCTGTAGGATAAGAAATTGAAAAATGAATCATTGTTGCTGCACGTTGCCATGGAGATGAATGCATGCCGTTTTTGTCAAGACGTGACGTTGGAAGAGAAAAAGTGTAACTCGCAAAGAAAACGAAACAATGACTCAGAATATTTTCGATGACGATAGATATTACTTTTAATTACGTTGTGTAGCTTTGTTACCATATGTCTTGGTGTTTGTTTGTTGGCGTGTGTTGGTGTTTTTGGTGTGCTTTAATGTGTTGGTTTTATTGGTCGTTGGTGTGTCCGTGTGTCTGGTCATATCTTGGTGCGCTCTAAATGTGTTTTAGTGTGTCCTGATGTGTCTCGGTATTTGGGATTCTGTGTGTCTTGGTGCTTCTGTGTGTATAGAGAGAATTGTTTAGTATGAGTGTCTGTATGTCTGTGTTTCTGTGTGTCTGTGTGTCTGTATGTATGTATGTATGTATGTATGTATGTATGTATGTATGTATGTATGTATGTATGTATGTATGTATGTATGTATGTATGTATGTATGTATGTATGTATGTATGTATGTATGTATGTATGTATGTATGTATGTATGTATGTATGTATGTATGTATGTATGTATGTATGTATGTATGTATGTATGTATGTATGTATGTATGTATGTATGTATGTATGTATGTATGTATGTATGTATGTATGTATGTATGTATGTATGTATGTATGTATGTATGTATGTATGTATGTATGTATGTATGTATGTATGTATGTATGTATGTATGTATGTATGTATGTATGTATGTATGTATGTATGTATGTATGTATGTATGTATGTATGTATGTATGTATGTATGTATGTATGTATGTATGTATGTATGTATGTATGTATGTATGTATGTATGTATGTATGTATGTATGTATGTATGTATGTATGTATGTATGTATGTATGTATGTATGTATGTATGTATGTATGTATGTATGTATGTATGTATGTATGTATGTATGTATGTATGTATGTATGTATGTATGTATGTATGTATGTATGTATGTATGTATGTATGTATGTATGTATGTATGTCTGTATGTATGTATGTCTGTATGTCTGTATGTCTGTATGTCTGTCTGTATGTCTGTATGTCTGTATGTCTGTATGTCTGTATGTCTGTATGTCTGTATGTCTGTATGTCTGTATGTCTGTATGTCTGTATGTCTGTATGTCTGTATGTCTGTATGTCTGTATGTCTGTATGTCTGTATGTCTGTATGTCTGTATGTCTGTATGTCTGTATGTCTGTATGTCTGTATGTCTGTATGTCTGTATGTCTGTATGTCTGTATGTCTGTATGTCTGTATGTCTGTATGTCTGTATGTCTGTATGTCTGTATGTCTGTATGTCTGTATGTCTGTATGTCTGTATGTCTGTATGTCTGTATGTCTGTATGTCTGTATGTCTGTATGTCTGTGTGTCTGTATGTCTCAATGTTAATGTACGTATAGAGGTATTTGTCTCTGCGTCCTACCTGACCAACGGACATTTCCTTTGTCCAGGGACCTAGCCAACCGAATCCTGAGGGTGGGCGGGAACCCCAATGACGTCATCAAGACCTGTCTGGAGATGGCCCAGGTTACAGACCCGCGAGCTCAGCTGGTGGCCAGATACAGCATCTCGGCCAACCTGGCGAGGTGAGGCCAAATTTTATTTACCTGCGGCCAATGTTTTGCCTTGTGGCACAGATCACTCATGTCCTAATGTTACCAGCTTGATGGGGGTCTGGTGCTCGTGTTTAGTTGGGGGTCTACGGTCCTGGTGTCTTTGTTGCCTTACCTTCGCTACAGTTTCGTGTTTATATCATCTATCTGTGTCTATATAATCTGTGTCTATATAATATGTGTCTATTAAACTTTTGTGTCTGTATAATATTTGTATCTATATGACCTATGTCTAAATTATTGTGTGTGTCTATATCTTTAGTGTCTATATAACGTGTGTCCGTATAATCTTTATGTCTATATAAACTTAGTGTGTATAAAGATTGTCTATTTTATTTTGTGTCTATATGAAATTTCTGTCTATATAATGTTTGTAACGATGTAATCTTTGCGCCTTTATAATCTCTTTAATCTTTTATAACAGGAGATTATATCTCAAGTCTCGGATCCTAGGGGACTCCTAGAATCAGCCAATCAAATTCAAGCACAGCCAGCCTGTCGACCAATTGAATGTCGTTACTATAAGTCTTTCAACCAATGGGATTTTAGTTTTGATAAATATGTCTTTCAACCAATGGAATTTTAGTTTTGATAAATATGTCTTTCAACCAATGGAATTTTAGTTTTGATAAATAAAAGTCTTTCAACCAATGGGATTTTAGTTTTGATAAATATGTCTTTCAACCAATGGAATTTTAGTTTTGATAAATAAAAGTCTTTAAAACCAATGGGATTTTAGTTTTGATAAATAAATATTTACAACAAAATGGATTGTTTGGGATTAAGAAAAATATTTTGAAAATGGTTGCGGGTTTTTTTACGAATGTTTATTTATTTTTTTAAACCTATGCCTTTTTTTTATTCCAAACTAAGCAAGACTAAATAATTGTACTGATATAATTTTATGAAAAAATAAATAAATCTTACACAGCTTGTATTGTATTAAAGTATTTTTAATTGAACAGTTTTAGTTTTTGGTTAATTCAAATAAATTATGACTTTTTAAATACATAATGATGACAATTTGTATTAATTATTAATTAATATTAATTATTAATTATTCAGTTCACACCCATTATTAATGGTGCAGGAGTAAAAATTTAAATTTAATTGTCCATTCTCTCATTATTTTAATGTAGTTATTGGCTGTGTCATTGAACACAGCAGTCTCACGTGATAGATGCGGGTTCAATTCCCTGTTGGAATAAGCTACGCAGTGGTAGAATGATGACCCCGCTTTACACTCCAACTTGGTGATTCACCAACACATTGCTGTCTTCTGTTTTCTTTTCTTGTACGTATGTGACGACATAATGACCCGAAACGTGTTGGCGTATAGCAGTAAACAAAAAGCCTTGAGCTCCCGGGTCCAGAGCTGGTGAAAAGTCCTTGAGTCTACCCAGCTCTAATGTGTACCTGGTTCACGAAAACTAAAGGCGGCTGGGCATTTTTTTTTTGATCACACATTAGCTTCTGATGCCTAGGTTACAGAGTAAGATGAACTCTACTTCATCTACCCAATCGACCGTTAGGTTTAAGCTGTACTTTAATTTTTACCGTACATGCTAACACATCTTAATTTTACTTCGATTGAGCTCAACTATTAGCATCTCTCCCCTTCTCCTCCCCGCCCCACACCCACACACCCCCACCCCACACAAACATGCTAGAACTACTATTAACAAAATCGCGTGTGTTCCCCCCCCCCCCCCCCCCAATAGAATGATTCGATTCTTTATTTTCCTGCGTCCCACCTAATGTCACAGCGCTCTCTAAATCTATTACCCAACACTTAAGCATGAAGATTAACCTTTCACCTTTCCTGCCACAAACGGATCCAGAATTACAAGCGGAGCATCATAAAGATTTTCTATTAACTTGTATTGGATCTTCCCGAACAGATATCATCTCCC